TTTGTTTTTAAATTAAGGTATGTCTTTATTGTAGCCTATAAAAACTATTTTAAAATGATTTTTAATGGAGGGGCTTTGCTTCTCCTATAATGTAAATTGAAAGAAAGAAAGATAAAAAATATAATGTATAATTACGTTGTGACATATACATGAAAAACTAGAAGGAAATAGAAAATGTTGATCAGTATTTTTGGGTTGTGGGTTTTTCTGGCTTAGGTTCTTCTTTTTTAAACTGAGAATGTATTATTTTGTAATCCAAAAATTTTTTATTAGAAATCATACTTTTATTGAATTAATATGCTGATTTCCAAGACAATGAATTTTACTTTTTAATGAGCAAATTAAGATGATATTTAATTCCTTATTTTAAAAATCGGTTTTTGAATTCAGTCTAAAATGCATGTGGTCAAATTTCACTGGCCAATTTATTGCAAGATATACCAACTTATTTAACAATTAATATCAATTCTAAGATCATTTAAAAATCATTTACAGTGTTTCTCTTGATTTATGAAGCTTTTAAATGAGTGCTGCCTTTCATCATTTCATAAGAAAGGTTAACAAGAGATACATATTAGAAGTCTCAACAGAGCAGAAACAGAGTCCCTGAATTTTAAATCCTTTCTAAGTTTCTGAAATCTTTACCTTTAGAATGAGGGAGAAGTGTAATTTGCTTTGTCTAAGATCTGAGATTCATGGTAGGATATTTACCTCACTGATCTTTTATTTGCTGGGGGAATAGTGAATAAAATCCTCTTCAGAATCAGTCCACTTGATGATCAATAATGACTTAAGTTCGCTATGCTTATCTGGCCTCTTATATTCTGCCCAGCGATAGGTGAATGGAAAAACAGAGTGGGAGCTAAAGTCAAGCCTTGTTTGGAACACTTGTGCAGTCCTGTATCATTACAGTTATGGTTGAATCAAGTGAAACTGGCAGTATTCTTTCCATCCTTCAATATTTTCACTTCTCTTTGTACTAGGAAAGTGACTTGGAGAGATTTGTGATATTAAATATTCTATTTTGATATCCAGGTTCAAAAATCTTAATTTGGTAAATATTTTTATATCTTTCAGAATATGATGCTTTGGCAAAAGTGATCCAGCATCATCCAGACAGGCATGAGACTTTAAAGTAAGTTCAGTGCTTTACTTTGAAAGGAACTGATCTTTGTACATAAATGTTTACATACGAGCCTATGCATTCCATTTTTATGGGAATACATAATATGTTTCAAAAGGAGGGATCAGATCTTCAATACTACATGTTCTAATACTGTTGGTTAGATTTTTCCTTCCTCTTGCTTTATTGACTATAGTTCTAAAGTAAATGCATCAGTACAGAATGGGATAAGTACAACATAGTCTACTCATATAGTAAATACTAAATTGCAGTTAAGAAGAATAAACTAGATATACACTTTTTTTTTAAAGATTGGCACCTGAGCTAACATCTGTTGCCAATCTTTTTTTTTCTTCTTCTCCCCAAATGTACAACATAGTTGTACATTCTAGTTGTAGGACCTTCTGGTTGTGCTATATGGGATCCTGCCTCAGCATGGCTTGATGAGCAGTGCCATGTCCACGTCCAGGATCCGAACTGGTGAAACCCTGGGCCGCCAAAGTGAAGCGCGCGAACTTAACCACTCGGCCAGGGGTCCGGCCCCTAGATATACACTTTTTAAGCACGGATCTCAAAATCAGTGAAAAGAAAAACAGAAAACATATAATGAATTTTAAATTATTCCTAAGTTTCTGAAATACAGAATAATAACCATTTATAAAAGTTAGAACCCCCCAAAATATTATATACTAATACTGTATATTATTCACAGATACAAATATATGCATAAAAAAAGGATTGGAATGATATAGTGATTGCCTGAGTGGGGGCTAGAGGAAGAAAAAAGCCTGGGATAGAGGATGAGGGGTGAAGTTCAAAGGGTATTTCAAGTTAATCTGCAATGTTTTCTTTCTTTTACTGAGAAAAAAGACTTATAAGTATGATAAAATGTTAAAAGTTATCAATTTGGGGCGTTTGTTATTATATTATCTATGATTTCCTGTACTTGAAAAATTATCTAAAAATATAATTTTAATGAAAATGAGTACATATTTAGGAGTTAAGAAGAAATCATTCTTAGTTTTAAAAGTCTCACCCTAATGGATGGTTATCACTTCTTATCCTTTTTTATTTTTAAAATACTATTTACTAACTAAAAAGTTAGATATTAATTGTGAATTCTGTTCCCCCAATTAGCAAAATATGACACTGTTTTATTTTTTTCAGGGAACTAGAGGCTCTGGGAAAAGAACTAGAACATCTTTCACATATTAAAGAAAGTGTTGAAGATAAGGTATTTGCATATGAATATTAGCCTTGTGATATGTATATATTCATAGATCAATGTGTATTAATTTTTTCTTGTTAACACAGCTGGAATTAAGACGTAAACAGTTTCACGTTCTTCTCAGCACCATCCATGAACTTCAGCAAACACTGGAAAGTAAGTGGGAATAGTCTCAAAATGAATGTTTAACATTTTTAAATGATCCAGAGGCATTTCTTCTAAAATATACATCTTAAAGAGAGAGTACACCTTCAGTTTCAGAACAAGGGTATAGCTAGATGACATTAGGAGGTATTCATACTGTTCTGCTTTTTGAATATACGTAGAAAAGCCTGAATTTGTAGTAATATATGATTTAAACGCACATGTAGTAATTTAAACTAAGAGAAATTCAAGGATCATAGATTTGGAATTTTTCTTGGTTTATTATAGTTTATTGCTATAAAGTTATGATTCAGGACCCACGCAGCAATAGGTGAGTGAAGTAATCAGTGCCTAGTCACATCTGCACACTCAGTGAATGAACGGTGTGTGCTTTGAGGAACTGGAGACTTGCTCTTGGTATTAACTATGGCTTGCTGGAAATTTCTGTGTTATCTGATCTTCTGATTGTTTTTGAGAAAAGCCTAAGACCTAGTTTTGTTTTTTTATTTGTTTAGTGAAGTCTGTCACATAAGTTTTACATTTTCATTCAACTAATAAACAACCACCACCAAAACAGCACTTTTAAAAGCAAATACTTGTGTGAGCCAATTACAGTCATGGGTTGTCATTTTGCCATCTTTGCTTTAAATAGATTGGCTAATAAAGGATAAAAATGTTTTAATATATTCATTAAACATGCAATTTAAGCAAATTTGGCTATGATTTTATGTCTCTTTCTCCACTACAGATGATGAAAAGCTCTCAGAGGTGGAAGAAGCTCAGGAAACAAGCATGGAAGCAGATCCTAAGCCATAGACAGGCTGGCACGCACCATTCCCGAGGGTATTGAAGTGGCAGTGTGGTCTGATTGTGTTTAGAATTTGTCGTGCTCTTCAGATATTTAAAGTTTTGGCAGTGATCTACTTTACTTTTAAATATTAATGCACAGTTCATTCATATTTCTTCACACAAAGGAAAATGACTTCAGTATGGATCTGTTTTTATTGAAATGTCTTTTTTTATTCTTAAACTTCAAAGGTAGAAAGCAGCATCCAAAAATATTTAATAAGATATCTTCAAGCCAGATATATTTTTGTTCTTTAGTATTGTAGGTAGTTTTTAACTGGTAACATTGATTTGTCTACGAAATAAGTTGAAGATTGTGAGAAAGTGGTGTTTTTAGGATGTACATGAGAAAATGAGTCAATTTCTGGAAACTGTTACCACTTCTGTAAATGGAGTCCATGAATAGGCTTCAGGAGGGCTATGAACTTGTGAAATTATGTGCAAAATGTTTGTGGCATATGCTTATTGTGGGAGAGGTTCCATGATATTAAGAATCACTAGTATAAGAGGTAATTACAAAATGCAAAGTAAATCAATATGCATCACTCTCTAGAGCTCTCTCCTTAATACTTGAGAAATGTCATTATTAAATGTTTGTTGATATGTTTTCTCTCCACTGTTTTGTTCTTTAGGAGTCATTTTCAATAGAAAAAAATGTATTAATAAAGTGAAGAGTTGTTTGAGATAAATAGTCTAAGATGGTCTTGAATAAAGGATTTTGTGACTTTTTTTTCTGTGAGGAAGATTGGCCTTAAGCTAACATCTGTTGCCAATCTTCCTCTTTTTCTTTTTTTCTCCCCAAAGCCCCAGTACATAGTTGTAGTATCGTAGTTGTAAGTCTTTCTAATTCTTCTATGTGGGATGTCACCATAGCGTGGCTTGATGAGTGGTGTGTAGGTCCACACCAAGGATCTGAACCAGTGAAGCCCAGGCCGCCGAAGTGGAACACGTAAACTTAACCACTATGCCAACAGGCCGGCCCCTGTGATCTTTTCAAAAATTAAGCTAAGGCTGAATCACTTGTAATTTTCTTAAATATTGAATTACATGTTCAATACTTGTTAGGTTCCATTCTTATCCATTTATTTTAGTTCAGAAACATGACGCTTTGCATGAATCATATCTTAATAATGTTACATTTTTGTAATTTTAATAAGAATTCTTATCTTTAAAATGAGAGTTTAAATTAGCTCAGTAGTAGTCATATTAAAAGTGTCATAATACCTTTAAATGCTTCCTCTAATTTCATCTACTAAATCATGGGAGAAATTTCTTCGCAGAATTTCTATGCTCTGAGAAATGTTTCTATTTTCCATTATTAGTAAGAATTATGAAGGAAAAATTGCTTACATTGACTCAGAATTAAAACTCAGTTTTTCACAAAGGATCATTTTTTAAGGACTGTTGGGCAGAATATCCTAAACCACCCCCCACTGATTAATTCACTGGAGACATTTATTCAGGATTATGTATCAAAAGATAAGAATCCTTATAAGGGGCCGGCCTGGTGGCACAGCGGTTAAGTCCACGCATTCCGCTTCTCGGCAGCCTGGGGTTCACCGGTTCGGATCCCGGGGGCGGACGTGGCACTGCTTGGCAAGCCATGCTGTAGTAGGCATCCCACATATAAAGTAGAGAAAGATGGGCATGGATGTTAGCTCAGGGCCAGGCTTCCTCTGCAAAAAGAGGAGGACTGGCAGCAGTTAGCTCAGGGCTAATCTTCCTCAAAAAACAGAAGATAAGAATCCTTATAAAGATAACCTTTATGTAATCAGGAACAAAATCAGAAGCAGCAGCAGGTACATGGGAAACACACAGTTTTCAATTTATACTTCCTCATGGTTTTCTTGGCTATCCTCTGAAACAGCTTAGAAGACTGAAGAATTTCGTCCCCTAGAAACTCACACTGTTGAAGCTCAGCATGTCTTTGGGCCAATAACTTCGTGGATTTATCTGTCACCGTTTCTATGAGGTCATCCACCTATGACAGACAGATACAAAGAAATGAAGCCATGTGTTAAAAGCCTTGTCAAAACCAAAGGGATGGTTGTTTTTCCTAAGAGAGGAGTTCAGGATTGTTGGACGTTTTTCAAGTCCCAAAGTATTATTCTAATTCAAGTCATAGTAAACAGAGCTTGAAAACATACATTTACCACCAAGTGGTAAAGATGATCTCATTTCTTCTCAAACGAAGCCTATGTGCATGCCTTCATTTTAATTGAATTCGCTTAATAATTATTAGGAACACAGCATCATCCTAGGTGCCCTTAGCAATCCTTTAGCCACTCTCAGAATGCCCCCCACTAACATTATTTCTTCATGCTAATCATTAGTTTCGTCCCACATCTATGCTATCTAGCAGGACTATGCATTCAGTTAAGCCTGGCCCTGTGATGCTTTTGAAACACAAAAATAAAAGCCTTTGTCCACCACCTGCATTTGAAGCTTTCCTACAGTCAAATCTGATTTTTGGAGGATGTTTTCCATTCTATGTTTCCTTTTTCTAAGGGCTGCAAAGTGTGCTCTCTTTTTTGATGAATACGGAACCTATCATAAAAATGCAAAAACACCTCAGATTAGGCAGTACCAACATTATTTCTATGACGGCGCTTAGATAAGAATTCTTACCCTTGGGACATTCTCTTATAAACTGAACATTTGCCACATAACAACGTTGGATTGGAGACCATATTCATATTATTCTCCACGCCCCATGTATCTCCTTTGTGCCCAGAGCTCTCTTTGAAGAGATCTATAGGGTGCGGAGAAATGAGATTGTCTGGTTCTGAAAGAATATACAGTGTCAGGAAAAAAGCAGGTCATTCGTGAGGGGAAGAAGAAGAAATTGGCTTTGCAGCTGCTGAGCACCGAGTGTGGGGCTGTTGTGGACCAGTGCCCCAGAAAGCTCATTATCACTGGATCCAATTGTTAATTTGGTCTCTCATCTGCAGGTCTCCTTATTTTCATGGCAGACATAGCTCCAAACATAAAAAAGAAAGCTCTGGGTTCTTTTTGCCCCGTGCCTGATACTTTTCCTACCATCCTTGGCTTGCTGCTTACAAGTACCTGTCCTAATAGTGTTGCTATTGGAAATCATCCCTAGGTCATGGCTCCTGGCTAATAAGCCCTTTTTATTCTTATTGAGTTCGTTCTTCCTTCCCCTTGTGCTTAGTAATTAGCAATAGGACTATTGTGAGACCTACCCAAAGAAGGATATAGGACTGGATCTGGGTCCTACCCTTTACCTGATGAAGGAGTTTACAAATGAGCCTGCTGAACCTCCACTTGCCCTGCCAGCTTGCCCAGGCTCAAATGTCACTTGTGGAACCTTCCGAATCCATCTAAAGTTGGGCTCCTCTTTTTTGTCTCTCATAAAACTCAGTGCTTTCTCCTATAAAGTGCTTACTGCATTTGGTAATCACTAAGTTATTTCCGTGTTTTTTGAATACAACTATTTTAAAGTCAAATGCCCAGAGGGGCCAGGCAGCTTTGGTAAAGCAGGACCATTTAGGGCTGGTGTGAACTGGAGAGAATGTGCCTCCTGCAAAGGGGGCAGCCTCTGCATATCTCCCGCTGTTGCCATGAGGAATTGTGGGCCTAGTTTCCAAATATTCCTATTTTTCAAAATAAAGCTGAAAATCCAGATTTTTATTTGAAATATTCTAATTTTTAAATGCAATCAATTCAAATAATGTTTTTGAGACGATTCTGAGAGCTATACAAAACTCTTCTATAGATAGTTGATAATCTTTGATCTGATGTCTTTTTTTTGAGGAAGATTAGCCCTGAGCTAACATCTGCCAATCCTGCTCTTTTTGCTGAGGAAGACTGGCCCTTAGCTAACATCCTTGCCCATCTTTCTCCACTTTATTTGTGGGATGCCTGCCACAGCATGGCTTGACAAGCAGTGCATAAGTCTGCACCTGGGATCCGAACCAGCGAACCCTGGGCTGCTGAAGCAGAACGTGTGCACTTAACCACTGCGCCACTGGGCCAGCCCCTGATCTGATGTCTTTTGATGAATAGAAATTCTTAATTTTAATATAGCCAAATGTATCCATCCTTTCCTTTATGATCAGTGATATTTGTATTCTAAGAAGTCTTTCTCTGTACTAAAGTCATGAAGATATTTTTGTTACCCCTCAGAAGGTTTAAGGTTTTACCTTTCCACATAGATCTCTAACCCAACAGGAATTAATTTTTGTTTGTGGTGTGAAATAGGAATCAAATTTCATCGTTTTCCCCATATGGATGTCCACTTGTCCCAGTGCTACTTACTCAAAAGGTTATCCTTCCCCACTGCTCTGTAGTGCCATGGTTTAATGTCTATCTCATCTATTAAACTATAAATTCCTTAAAACAGGACCATGTCCTTCATAGCCCCAAATCTAGAAATTAATTGCCCAACACATAATAGGAATAAAATGAATATGAACCTAGCACGCCAGAGGCAAAATTCAAAACTAACGTTGGCGCACTCTGACAGTGATGCTTTAGAGCAGTGCTGTTTAATAGACCTTTCTGTGAACATGGAAATGTTCTTTATCTGTGCTATCTAAAACAACAGCCACTAGCCACATGTGGTTATTGAGCAATTGAAATGTAATTGTACAATTGAAAGACTGAACTTTTAATTTTACTTAATTTAATTAATTTAAATAGTCACACATGGCTGTTGGCTGCCATATTGGGCTGTACAATTAGTACCTAGCAGAATAATTAAGCGTAGGACTCTAGAGCCAGGTCTTCCTGGGTTTGAAGCCTGGTTTTGCCACTGATATGGGAAAATTACTTAACCTCTCAGTGACATCCCTAAAAGAATGATAGAATTACTACCTACTGTACTGAGCCATTGTAAGGATAATTTGAGTTGATATTTTTAAAGTATTTAGAACAGGGTCTGGAACATAGTCAGCTTTAAGTAAAAACTTGTTATACTTAAAATAATATTAATAGTTCAGGCTATTTAAAAAAATAGTCTGAGCAATTTAGGCTGAAATTTACATACCTACAGATAAGAACAAGCTTTCGACTGGAGAGTCCTGGATTGTCTCATGCTGCACTGTCTATACAATACATGTGGCTAATGGCTGCTATATTGGACAAGTGTACACTTGCATCCTCGAAGAAAGTTCTAGAGGGCAGTGCTAGCATGCATGATAGGCCAGATGCTAATATACTAACTTAATATTTGAACAGTTAAAAAAATTAATATAAAACTCAAAATTCCATTGTTGCCCAGGTTGTAGTAGAAGCTGAAGAGTTCGAGCTCAAAAGTAGGGGAATCAGATCTGGAAAGCCACTTTCTGTGGCCTAAATTCTTAGAAAGGAGACACAAGTAGCAGATTTAAAGGTTTTATTAGGAGAAGTTGGCTTTTACAACAGGCTTAAATACTGACTTGTGTGTAAGTCTTTAGAGGCAAGTTTTTGTAGCATTTTACCTTTGCAGTCCTGAAGGAAGGGATGGCACAGATAACCTCTTGATGGTTCTCCTGGCCTGGAGAGGTGTATTTCCTCGGGTTATTTCCTCTGTCTCTGCTTCTACAACATAAAGTTGTATAGTCGCTTAGAGAGGGGAAAAAAAAGAAACTGTAAGGATCACAATTATAGACATATTCTTCCTATTAGAAAATATTCTGAAAAGACGGTATTCCATGCTGCCTCAGTAGCTTTTTTTCTTTGCGGTTAAAAATCAAAAATGGATTTGCTTTTCTGAATCTTACACTTTCTCCTGAACATTTGCATTTTCTTGGGATCATGACCTCAGTAGTCACCAACCCATCCTGACAAGGTGTTGACCTCTCTGTCTTTGAGGCTTCAGTTTTGCTCTCCATTGCTTTTCCCTTTAACTACTGTGGAATTAGAAAAAGTAACCATCTAACGTGTAAGGTGACCCCTTGAGTATTCCTTGTTGATTGAAGCAAAGTTGAAATCTAGTCTCCAGCAACGTGGCTCAAGGCTCATTCACACACCATCTTAATAGTTTTTCCCATGTTTCAGCAGCCATGTGAACCCTGGACTCCTTAATATATTTCTTTATATCAGTTCAATTCTTAATGCAAGAAACGCATTTATAAAGGAAATCTTAAAACACCATAAGTCGAAAACCAGTGTCAAAAATAGGCATTAGGATTAATATGGTAAAAATAAAACCATGTTATTGCCTGCACAAGGCACTAAACTTGAGGTCACCCTCCTTTTTGTTAAAAAAGAAAAAGGAAGGAAATGAGACTTTTTCCTTGATGTATTCGGAGAGATTGACAGGAGCACTGGGGAAAAGATGTTTGCAATTTGCTCTGTGTTTCAGTGTCTTCACACTGTGCGCAGCACCTAAAATCTTGTCCTGCTTGAGGTCTGTCGAGGACTTCCCTGGGAGCCATGGCTCCTCATTTCAATGAATGGTGGCTCCGCCTCCAAAGCAGGTGGTCAACCCAGGGACCCTTCCTTCTCTCCCACTCTCCACTGTCCAGCTCTTTCCCAAATCTTACAACTTCTACATATGAATGTTTCTCCCTTTATCTCCCCAGCCCCGCTGCCATGAGTAACCGAAGCTAATATCATCCCTTGCGTGAACAAATGTAAGAGCCTGTTTATTGTTCTTCCTGCACCTGCTCTTGCCTTCCTCCAATCCAGTCTCTACTCTGCAGCCTGAGCTAGCTTTTTAAAATGTAAATCAGATTATATAAATCTCCAGCTTGAAAGTATTTGATGGTTTCTTATCACTCTTGGGAGAAAGTTAAAAATTCTTAATGTGGTTTACAATACTCTTACCACTTTATTCACTAGCCTCTCCCTGGCTGGATTACTCTTATTTCTTAAATATGCCCAGTGCTGTCTGGATATCAGGACTTGAGTATGCTCTCCCCTCTTCCTGGGAAACTGTTATCCCCACTCATTCCTTATCTGACCCTAGCTGTCCTTCCGGTCTCAAGTGAGTTGGCCCTTCCTCAGGGAGTTCTTTCTGGAGCCCTCTCCCCTAAAGTATAGAGCACACAGATGTGTTTCCATAGTGCCCTGTGCTTCTGCTTTGCATCAGATGTAATCATCTGCATAATGTTGGAATGTCCTTATATACTATAACTCCATGAGGACAGGGACCATGTCTGTTCTATCTGCTACTCTATCCCTAATAGTGTGGTTAGAGTACAGGAAGTATTTAGCAAATATTTGTTTAAAAATGTTATGAGGGTCAACAGGGAAGAGCAACTGTCTTTGAGCCACAGCTGAGACAGGGTCATATTATTTGAGTTGCAGCCTGAGGACGGGCAAGTTTTCTGGAGAAATCTTAGTGTAGATATTTTGCACTCCAACTAGGATGAAAATAAGCCAATGCACACTGATGAGGAGGAGGAATTTCGTCCTCTGTTTCCTTCTGGACTCTGCAACTCCAGCCCCATCCGTATAGAAGCATGTCCTCTTTGTTATTTTCAACAGAAATAGATAGGTCAATCCATACCAGGTAATTGCTAGATGCTTGGATGCTTGCATTAGTGACTCCTTTTTCCAGAAGACAGAGTGTGTTTGAAAGGGCAATCAGTCAGCTGGAAGACATCAGTTTTGTTTTTTTTTTCTGGAAAAAGTATCTACCAGGTTTATAGCCTTATCCCTGTGTGAAATGTGAGGTTGTATGTGGATTCTCTACATATACATAAGGGCTGTATATGTTTCCTGATACTGTGCTGTAAAGGACGTTAAAAAGGTACACAGGATATTTAGGGCAGTGAAGTCATTCTGTATGATATTGTAATGGTGGATACATGATACAACATGATGAGTTTTTCAAATCCAAAGAATTCTGCAGGGCAAAAGGTGAACCCTAATGTAAACTATGGACTTTAGTTAATGATATGTCAATATTGGTTCATCAGTTGTAACAAATGTACCATACTAAGGCAAGATGTTAATAATAGAAGAAACTCTGAGGGTGGAGTAAGGAGACATATGGGAACTAACTCGGTATTTTCTGCTCAATTTTTCCAGTAAACCTAAAACTGCTCTAAAAAAATAAGGTCTATCAGTTTAAAAAAGCTACAGAGGAGAATGCTAATATTAGTGGTATTGTTACTCATCACTCATAGGACGCCCCAAAACAGCATTACCACATTGCAAGAAAGACTTAAAGTTAACAGTTCAAATGTTGATTCTTCCACAAAGTACATGGGAAGTAGATACAATAAAATAAAATGTCCTTTGTTACTTACCATCATAAATTTTATTCATAGAATTCTCACCACACCCTCCACTGTTGGAAATAGCCATTTGAAAGGCCGCATCACTACTTTCTCCAGAAACAAAACAAAAAAATCCCACTTTAGATTTTCTACTGTGTGTATGTATATATGCATATACATATATACTTATGTATGCTTATATATTTAAATAAAAAGTGACTTTTGACTGATTAAATCACTGATTACTTGGACTGGGAGGGACCTCAAAGGCAATCTAATTCAGAGCTTCTCAAAATGTATGTACATACGAGTCACCTGGGGATCTTTCTAAAATGCAGATTCTGACTCAGGACACCTGGGTAGGGCCTCAGATTCTGCATTCCAGACAAACTCTCAGGAAATGCCATACTTTGGGTAGCAAAAAAAATCCATTCTAGTTTCATTATTCCTCTTGGCCTTGACGCTTAACCACATACTGCCTTTGATTACCATTCTGTGAGAGCTTTCTCATTCTTGGTTTGGTAAATAACTTGGGCGATGGGAGCTCCTTGACAAGCCTAGGAAGAAGACTCTGCGTGTTGGAAAGGAGGGTTTCCCTGTGGCTGGTAGAGCCTGCTCTGCTGGGACTTGCTGGCTTGCTTCTATACTTGCGTGACAGCATCCTCCCCCAAACAGTCTTCACTTTCTTCATCAATTTTTTTTCTGATTTTGTTGGCTTTCATGAAATTCCATGTCGTTATCATTGGATGATTCTTCTTTGGGGACCAATATATTTTGTTTTACTAAGTTGATAGACACAGCTCTATGCCATCTAAACAAAATAAAAATAATCTGTATTAGGGAAATTGAAAAGTTAGAAATGAATGATTTAAATCATTAAAATTCACATTGCAAATGTTAACAAATTATATAATTCTCAAAAATAAAATTGAAGACTAGGAATCAAATCACAGGAAAACGAAGCCAGAGCAACTACTTGGTGTTTTGTCACCAACCTGTAATAAGTGCATTCTGGCCACCAGCTCATTTAATCCTCATATCAGGTAGGTTATATTATTATCTTCATTTTGCTAGTGAGTAAACTGAGACATTGAGAGGTTAAATTAATTGGCCAAGCATAGAATGCAGATTTTAATCCTGGTTTATGACTGTTAGAATATATTACCTCATTTGGCAAATAGGCAATCTTATTTCAATGATGATTTGAGATAGTTTTTGCTGAATCTGGGGGCTCCAAGGCTACAGTGATGCGTGATGACAGTCTGCTAGTGTAGTTAATAAAGAATATAGTCTCTTAGGGCTGGCCCAGTGGCTCAGCAGTTAAGTGTGCACATTTCGCTTTGGCAGCCTGGGGTTTGCCGGTTCAGATCCTGGGGGTGGACATGGCACAGCTTGGCATGCTATGCTCTGGCAGGCGTCCCACATATAAAGTAGAGGAAGATGGGCACAGGTATTAGCTCAGGGCCAGTCTTTCTCAGCAAAAAGAGGAGGATTGGCAGCAGTTAGCTCAGGGCTAATCTTCCTCAAAAAAAAAAAAAAAAAAAAATATATATATATATATATATATAGTCTCCAATGTCCCATAAACGCTGTATTTACATAGAACATTCATTTAGACAGAGTAACTCTAAGCTCATATTTCCCAAATTCCAAATAGTCATATTCCATCTTCATCGTTTGGCATATTTTAGTAATAAAAATAGATAACCTTTCTTAATAGCTTTCTATGCGGTAAACACTTAATAAGTTCTTCATACGTATTATGTAACTTAACCCTCATACTGTCATCTCTATTTTACAAATAAGAAATTAAAGCTTGGAAAGATTAAATAACTTATGCCCAGACAATCTGATCCCAAGATTTGTGTTGTTATCCTCTGTGCTAGAGTGAACATCCCCCATTCCATGACACCATTATTTACCTAGTATTCTTCCTCAATTAACTGTTTTTTGTTAGTCTTATCCAGAGCAATAATATCCATAAAATCTCAGGGATTTTTAAAAATTAAACTTTATTTTGAGATAATTATAGTTCCACATACAGCTGTAAGAAATAATACAGGGAGATCCTCTGTGTATTCTTGACACAGTTCACCCCAATGGTAACCTCTTGAAAAACCATAATACATTATCACAACCAGGATACTGACATTGATGCCGTCAAGATACAGAACGTTTCTATCATCACAAGGGTCCTTTGTCTTCTATAGCCATACCCACTTCCCACTCATCCCTACCTTTTCCTTAACCCTCGGCAACCACTAAGCTGTCGTCCAGGTGTGTTACTTATGTCCTTTGAAGAATGTTACATAAATGGAATCACACAGTATATAACCTTTTGGGATTTACTTTTTTCACTTAGCATAATTCCCTGGAGATTCATCCAAGTTGTCATGTGTATCAATAATTTGTTCCTTTTTGATTGCTGAGTAATATTCCATGATGTGAATGTACCACACTTTTTCTAACCATTCACTCATTGGAGGACATTTGGGTTGTTTCCAGTTTGGGGCTATTATGAAAAAACCTGCTATAAACATTTGTATACAGGTTTTTGTGTGAATATAAATCCTCATTTCTCTGAGTGAAATCCTAGCTTTTATATTACATTATGTCCTGTTTATTATATACGTAATATACATTTCTTACGTGGATGTAAATAAATTCAAACCATTAAAAAATTTTCTTCATATACTACCTAAAATCTCTCAAGTACCACCAGTAGCATGTCTATTATCCTCCAGGATAACACTGTTCTAAACTGGACCTAAATCATCCAGCTTCTCTGTAATTATACACGGAACGTAGTTCAGTAAGAGCCCGGCACTGGAGTTAAATAGTCTCGGTTGAACCTAGCACCACACTGCCTAGCTGTGTGATCTTGGGCATGTTATTTAACCTCTACAAGCTTGGGTTTTCTCATTTGAAAATGGGTGTATTATTCTCAGAAATGTGCAAATAAAAGGAAATAATTTACAGGTTTGGAACCTAATGAAACATTCAATAAGTGATAGCTTGTATTACCATGTGGATCAGATCTGTGTGGGAAAAATGTAAAAGGCAAGGGAGACCTTGTGAGCCAGCAGCCTCCCTTCTGGGATCAGGACATAAGTTCTGCCAGCTGTATGTGCTCAACTTCTAGGGGGCGCTATTCACATTTAGTCATTTTAGTAGCTTATGGTTATTACAATAACTTTCTAGCAGATGGCAGTAAAGTGTCCTGAGGAAGGAGTGCCATTTCGTATTCACTCAAAGATCATTTATGGGCTAAGATTAATCTCCCATGGACCCCTCCTGGAATCTTTGTTTGTTTAAGAATAAATGTTTGACTATTGTGAAGTAAAATAATGAACTCAAGTTTTGGTGTGCACAATGGGAATGGGACAGACATAACTAAATTTTAAATTTTTCCCCTACAAAAAGATATATTGCACAGATCTGTAAAGCCTACATGATTACTTTTAGCTCTCATGGGAAAGTTAGGCAGATCAGGTTTAATGTAAATAACATACAGACAAGCTACTACAGCAAATGTGAAGGAAAAAAGTTAATCGACCGCTGATATCCAAGTTGCAAAACTCAGCTCAACTCTGACTGTGCATGGCAACAGACATTTCACTGCTCCTCACTGTCCGCTTTGAAAGCATCAAACTCTGCCAGAACCACTGGTCTATCAGTTCCTGCTGCACATTCTAACATTGCCTTTGAAAAGTTAAGTCTTGCAGAATCCCATTTCTTCTGGGGCCACATCCTTTTGCCTGGCCTAGGTAGTTAACTCCAAAAGCTTTCTTCTTCCTATTTCCTGCACAGTTTGAGTCCAGCCTTTGTCTCAGCTTTGAGCCGTAAATACTCTCAGAATTTATTTATTTATTATTATTTACATAATCTTATTTTATTCAGTCTTTCACAGCAGTCTTATAGGATATTATCCCCACTTCCCAGATGAGGAAAGCTAAGGCTCAGAGAGGCGAGGATGCTTCCTCAAGGTCACATAGCTAGGCTGTACAACTCAGTCTGGTGCTCTTTACTGTATCACTGGCAACCACTGAGGTCAATCCCTGTGACCTGAGTGATGGGCCTAGTCCTTTATCATCTCTTACAATTAAAACTCCATCTTATGAAAACATTGATTAAAATATCCTTAAGTGTTTAGGCCAGGCAAAACCTGGAATTTACTGTTACTTGTCCTTCAGTGTGGCTGTTTTTCCATCTCCTCCCTTCTCCTGCCTCCTTTGATCCCCTCGACCCGCCCAACATGGATCACAGGCATTTCACAGGTATGTGGAGTCAAGATCTCAGGGGAGAACAGGGAGGCCATCTGGCCCACCAGCCCCTCAAAGCTTGGCTCTCTGACTTCCCATTTGGTTTTAAGCCAAAGCCTGGTACAGAAGGCAATAGCAAGAATTCACATTAACTCGTATTAGAAGCCATGACCAAATTCTGTTTGTGAAAACCTCCACCTTCTTTTTTAAAAATTTTAAAAAATATTCTAGCCCTTTAACTTCTTTCCCCCTTTCCCTCTTCCTTCCTCCCCCTCTGGTAACCACCAATCTATTGTCTGTGTCTATGTGTTTGCTTGTGGTTGTTTGAGAATCTTTTAATAAAGCCACCAATATTTACTACCATAAATATACACACACAAAACAAACAATGGAAATACAATTCAGGAGGCTCGTAACCCCTCAGGTAAAAAGCCCAGCTCTAAGTAGTCTCTGAATCTCTAGAGTGTGTCTCCCACTCCCACGCCCCCCACCCTTATTCCCAATCTATGTAGAACAGAATTAACAAACGCAGTTTTGCTCCAGGGCCTACGAATAGAAATGCTGCAATTTCTATTATGAAAAGAACACTTCTCTTCTTAAGTTTTTAAATATCTTGGCTGGTAGTAAATTTATTTGGTTGTATTGCTTCCCCATTTAACTCTCATTTCTTAGTGAAAGTGGAAATCTCTGCAATATTTCATTTTGTCCGTGGAAGTTCAGAAGTTTGGTCTTTGATGCCTCAGGCCTCATGAATACACCTCACTTGTACGTGTCTGGGCTATTACTCATGAACCTGGTAAGAAGAAAGCCCCAAGAAATTGGAAAATAAATCATCTCACTGACTTTCCAGATTAAAATGTATTATGTTTGGAGTATTTCATGCCTGTCTTTATGGTTTTGCCACTGGCAAGAAATATCAGGTATAAGACAGTTTTATGGTTACGCTAAAGAGCCCACACGTGGGTGAAGTACAATGAGTACCCATCTCAGCAGCCAAAATCGCTGGGAAAGGGAACAGAAAGCGCTGGCCACAGATCAGCTTGAAGAACGTGCTCCTGAGTTTCCGAAATGTTAGTATTTGCATGGGACATGTGATGTCTAAAATTCTGAGACTGAAATATCAACTTAATATCAGTGCTTATTTTAGTATCATATGCCACATTAAAACTCAATTTCAGGTGGAAAGGAAAGGTTTTCCGTGTTACAATTAAGACTTTTGTGATGGCAAAATGAGGCTTCCTCTGTGACACTAGGCTTCCTGACCCAATGTATAAATGCACTGCCCTCTCCCGCTAGTCCCTACGGAGCCTTCGTTTCTAAACGCAGAGCTTAAAAAGAGATGCTACCCTTTCTAATCATTGTGAATATTGTTCAACGCAAAATCCAAAGACTCTCACTCAACGGAAAAGAAAATGAGTCCCAATTACCTACCTTTGAATCCCCTTCCTTTTGAATGAGCCATATTTCTGTCTGGGTTGCTGAAGTCTTTGGTACTGGCCCACTCTACCATAAGCGACCTTAAAGGGCTCTGGTAGATATAGTTGAGGTTGGTCCATCGCCGTCAACTTTCCCTGTAGTAGCCGTTTTAGATTTCTTTAGCTCTTGAGCTCACAAACTTCAAAACAAAATCATCCAGTGACTGAGGCACTTTTAACTTTTGGGCTGTTTGGGGTAAAGTATGTAGGAAATTTTTGGAATCTCTCCTCCATTCCCTTCCAGGTGTTAGAGACATCATTGGTGGGACTGGCCCTGTTTACCACTTCACAGAGGTCGCCAATGATGCATTTGACAGAGCCGTGGGAAATTCCGTTTCACTTTGTGAAACTCGTGGTAGATTCCTGGGCAGGGCAAATGCAGAAAAGGGTGACCTGATTGTCTCACCACTGCCATTTGGGGTGGTAATAAAATAATCACATACCAGTTGATTATCACATCCAGATGAGCATGTTTGAATTCCAAAGAGAAGAACCTATAAGGAAATCAGTGATCTCAGCTTTTGTTAGATCTCTAACTAGAGCTGATGAACATTCTCTTGTTCCGGCGGACACACGAAAAGGCCAGTTGTTATTTGGCCTTCTCACAGTACACTCCAAGGGCTATTTTAGTATATCTTGGAATTTTGTACCGGTCACTCAAAGCACATGGCTGGAAAAATTGAGTACCTGGCGCATCCCTCCTTTCCAGCATTTTCCCATTTATTTCATGGAGAAGAGCAAATTCTGGCTGGGTTGGAACTTCTCACCACAAGGTGGCAGCAGACACTAGTATTTATTCCCATCACGCTCATTGGCACTTGGAGTTTTTCAATCCGAAATAAACTGGGTGCTAAGAAGGAAAACTCTAGAAAATTGTTGGGAGATACAAGAATTACTCTGCTTCGATACAGTAGGTCTGAGTGAGACCCAAGAATTTGCATTTCTAACATCTCCCAGATGATGCTGATGACTGGTCCACAGACTACACTCTGAGTCTTGTATGTTCCAGTACTGAGGGAAAGAGCTTAAAAATGGTCAAGAATGAAATGTATAACATTGAGGGGTTAAGAGAGTGGGTTTGGGAGTTACACTTAGGTTCTTGTTCCAGCCCAGCCCTGTGGCCTTAGTCAATTCAATTAACCTATCTGTGCTTGTTTTCTCATCCACAAAGTAGGGATAACAGTAGCACCCAAGCCATAGGAGAGCAGGTGCAGGCGGTCCTTTGAGAAGCACTGAAATACATACCTGATGTGCTTTAGTCAAATGGGTGTGTGGTTCTACCTGGTCTCATTTTCCTCACCTTTTGGGACCCCCAGAGCACAATAAATAATAGGTGCTCAAATGAAGGAGTAAATGCATAAGCATTTCTTTAACCACAGGCCAATTATTTTAACTCGACTATTGGAACAGCTATCTTAAATCTGTTGTATTTTGTCAAATATCTGGATGAATAAGATTAATTTTACATTAGGAAAAGAGCTCATTTTACTTCATGTATGTATGTGTCTGCGTTTGCACACGTCTGTGAGTGTGGAAGTCTGTGGGGGGGGGGGTGTGTGACAGTCTGAAACATTTGCTGCTTTGGCTTCTGTGACAAGGTGCACGGGTTCTCCAAAGAGTCCTGTAGCAGGTGATGGAGCTCAAGAGAGTGGAACAGGGAGCAGAGCAAGGAGAAGAGCTAGGGGCACAGACAGACCCTCATCTTGAACCAGATTTGTTTTTATTTATTTATTTTTTTTGGTGAGGAAGATTAGTCCTGAGCTAACGTCTGTTCCCAATCTTCCTCCTTTTTGCTTGAGAGAGATTGTCCCTGAGCTAATATCTGTGCCAATCTTCCTCTATTTTATGTGGGATACTGCCACAGTGTGGCTTGATGAGCAGTACTACGTCCTCGCCCGGGATCTGGGCCTGTGAACCCGGGCTAATGAAGCAGAGCAAGCGAACTTAACCACTACACCACCGGGCCAGCCCCAGCCAGATCTCTTTAAATTTTACGTCTGACTCTTACAAGCTATAGGTCCTGGGCAGGTAACAAAACCGCTCTGAACCTCCATTTCCTTATCTTACCAAATAGGAGTAGTAGCGGCTACCTTCCAGGGATGTTTTACTCATGCAGCTACCTGGCAATTATTTGAATGCCTAGTGGCTGCCGGTGCTATCCCAGGCACCTGGGATACTGCAGTGAACGACACACACAAAGTCTGTGACCTAATCTAACTTAAGATGCGGTGGGAGAGGCTGATAACAAACAAGAAAGCAAACTAACTTCAGCTAGTGGTAAGAGCTATGAAGGAAATAAAAGAGGGTGATTGGATGGGGTTACGGAGGGAGAGGGCCAATGTTAGATGAGGCGTCGGGGAAGATAGGCTGGCCCAATGAGGTTAGCCGACCTGAGAGCTGGACAGGGAAAAAGAATCAGTCGTGTGAAGATCTGTCTGTTCCAGGCAGATGAATCAGCAGGTAGCAAAGCCCTGAAATGGAAGGAGTCTAATGCCTTTGAAATGTGTAAGATAGTCAGGGTGGCTGCAGCAAAAAGATGATGCGTGTGATGAGCTGGAGGGCGAGGCAGGGCCAAACTCGCTGGATCCTACAGAATGAATGAAAGATTTGGGTCTTGATCTTCAGAGCAATGGACAGTTATTAAGGGTTTTTTTTTAAAATCATTAAACGTTTTTAAAAATTGTGGTAAAGTATGTCATATGAAATTGACTATCTTAACCATTTTTGAGGGCACAGTTCACTGGCATTAAGTACATTCACATTGTTGTGCAATCACCACCACCATCCACCTCCAGAACTTTTTTCATCTTGCAAAACTGACACTCTGTACTCATTACACAATAACGCTCCCTTCCTCCTGCTGCCCCTGGCCCCAGCGTCTGGCTGCCACCATTCTACGTTTCTGTTTTTATGAAGTTGATAAGGGTTTTTAAGGAGCTAGTCATTGTATAGTCGTTATATATTTATTCTGGGCGATGGGGATTCAGCATTGAGCAAAATAACTGGAATCCCTGCCCAGGAATACATTCCAGTGGAGGACACAGACACCGAATGTGTTAGCAAATGGATAGCGTTTCAGGCAATGATAAGGAATGCTATGAAAAAACTAGGAAAACATGGTAAACAGTGAGTGGAAGTGGGCGCTTCTGCCAGAGTGATCAAGAAAGACCTCTTGAAGAGGTGACATTGGAGGGGAGACATTTCATGTTGAAAAGGAGGCAAACTATGGTCAGATCTGGGACAAAAAGTATTCCAAAGATGGAAAACCACCAGAGCAAAGGTTCTGAGGTGAGTGGGAACTAGGCCAAGTTTGAGGGCAGAAAGGAGACCAAGGTGGTGGGAACACAGGCGACAAGGGAAGGCAATGTTATACTCGTGTTTTCAAAAGATTGCTGCATGCAGCTTGGAAAATACATTGAAGAGGAAAAAGTATAGTTTTTGAAAAGTCACTAGGTAGGTCATTGGTCCAGGCTGGAGATGATGGTGTTTAGGAGTAGAATGAGATAGAAGTGCATAGATTCAGGAAATATTTAGGAGGTATAATACTGAAATGAACTGGGTATGGGAGTGGTGAGTAGAGAGAGGGAGATGCTAGACTGGGAAGTTAGGTTGTCAAGTAGCTCAAGTGTGAGACTGGAGTGGTTTAAGTAAGGGTAATAGATCTAGAGAGAAGAGCATCAATTCAAGAGCCCCATAAGTCTACTTTTCTTTTCAACTTGGAGTCATACCCATACTATCATTTCCTGAATATTTGTAAATGTCCCTCCGAAAAGCCCAAAAGCCAGAGCAGGGCAAAGTCTGGTCAAAACACAATCTCCCTTGTTCTCAAAATTAGCCTTCTATGGAACACATCTGAGATTGCTTAAGCCTATTTAGGTAACCATAACAACAACATCTCCTATTGAGATAGCAATTGATTAAAACCACCAAGTCAGAGACTGCAAACATGAATGCCTGCAGGAGCCAGGCAGGTAAATGTAAGAAACTGGGGTGTCATAGGGAGAGGTGGGAGTTGTGGTAAACTGTAGAGTGCCAGAACAACCAAATGCTAGTGAACTTCAAAATTTTTAAGAAGCCTCATGTATTTAAAAATGTGGTCTGCAGGTCACATTTAGCCTGTGGGTCACCTATTTGTTGCCCCCAGAGATCTTTCTATGTAAACTCTCCATTCAGTCAGTCGGGTCTTTCCCATCAGTGGTCCTAAAGCTGATTTTTCCCCAAGTTTTGACTTAAATGTATTAACTGGCATTCTATTGGCTTTTGGCCAATTCTTAAATTGTTTTTGCATCTTATCTCTACCTGGTTGCATGCTAACCTCGCCTAGCAACTTGTAAGCCCTTTGAAAACTTGGTAAACAGAGATTCTCCGTCTTATTCCAAGTCTGAGAGTGATAAACACATACAACAGGGCGGGACAATGTGCCTTAGTGGCTTGGAGCCATTTTAAAACAGACTCTTTTTGAAAATAAATGAGTCTGGCAAGCTGATTATTTTCTGAAGAGTTTCCACCAGTTCTGGCCACTCCAGATCTGTCAAGGTGTAGGAGGCCTTTGCATGTTTGCACATAGAGGAATATGAATTGAGGACTTTTTCTCCTTGCTCAAACAAATCTCCTTACTGGAGCTTTTGCCTTTCGAGAGAAGAAGGTGTCACTTTACAGGTCACTTAGCAAGAACTGTGTCATGAGAAAGTGTATACATAATGCCCAGGGACAGAATGTTTCTCTGGAGAAGACTCCTCACCAAGAGAATGCCACTCCCCAGAAGCCGGCCAAGGTGCCGGCTGGAGCAACGTGTCTCTGAAGAGGCAAGGGGCTTTCACATAAATGACACTTTTTTTCATTTGCTTTTTGTGTTGGTTGCTGCCCCAGGTTGATATCTACAACTGTGGATTTTATCAGAGAGCTTTGGAATAATCATTTGGCTCGCTTTTGCTCTCTTTTCTTTTCTTTTTTTTTTAAGATTGGCACCTGAGCTAACAACTGTTGCTAATCTTTTTTTTTTTTTGCTTTTTCTCCCCAAATCCTCCAGTACATAGTTGTATATTTTAGTTGTGGATCTTTCTAGTTGTGGCATGTGGGACACTGCCTCAACATGGCCTGACGAATGGTGCCATGTCCGCGCCTGGGATCCGAACCGGGGAAACCCTGGGCCGCCGAAGTGGAGCGCCAAACTTAACCACTTGGCCATGGGGTCGGCCCGCTTTTGTTCTCTCTGGCATCTTCTCAGTGTTGGTCTTAGAAGTCCAGTGCTCTGGGCTGTACCACTTTGGAAAGTCTACATTTCAATAAAAATATCCTCTCAGATGTAGTTGGTATGAGTGTAAATTAGTACAAACTTTTT